GGAAATTGGACTTTCATAAATCTTCTAAATGTTGAATATCCCATTATTTTTATATCAGGAGATATTTTTCTACAATATTGTATATAGGAATCATATACTACTTTACGTGTAATGTCTGATGGAAGATGTAATTGTGCATTTTTTGCAACTTTAGTCTTTTGTTTTGTTTCTTGTAATTCAATAAAATTTTTTAAAAATTCTGTAGCAATTTTATAAATATCTAATGAAAATGTATTATGTGGAATTTTTCCATGATTTCCATGAACTCGTGGAGTGACACCATGGGTCATTAAATGTTTTCTAATTCGTTTTATTTGATAATGTGTACAGTTTTCTAAATATAAAAAAGCATCTAAACAAACTCTTCTACCCTGATATACATATTGTGCTCGTAATCTACGTCGTTCTGTATGTCTTGCTGTCTCATAAGGATTGGTTAAACAGGCCATAGTAACACCCATTAAGTACATATCATGTTCAGCTTTGGTTAATTCTGCAATATTTAGTCTGTGACGATATACTGTTTCAGGATTTAAACCTTTAAAACACTGATCATCTTGACATTCGCATCCTCTTTTAAATTTTTCCAATACCTGAGTTAAATTATCTTCTAATTTTGTTGATTCATAACTTGATTCTCCTTCACTTTTATATTTCTTCACCTTCATTTTTGTTATTCTCTTCTTTTGCTTGATATTACTTGTTGTATCCATATGTATCTTCTGTAATACAAAAAACTTTTATATATTATGCAAAATATTAAAAATATATAATTAACAAAAATTTATATTTTAATATTATATTAATATAAAATTATAAAAATAATGATTAATTGATATTGATATTGATATTATCATATAAATCTTAATCTATTTTATACAATTAAAATAAATTCACTTACCTTTTCTCTTGCTTGTATATATGTCAACTCATCATTAACCATATAATGACAATTAGATACTTCTAAATTATGATTTTTATTATGTAAAGTATCTTGTAAAGATATATCTGCTTGCATTTTTTTCTCATTTTTTTCACATAAATTAGTATCCATATTCCATTTAATATTATACAGTTAGGTGTCTTAATATTCTATGTATTCTAGTAAACAATAATATTTCAATGATAAATTTATACGAATAGAAATAATTATAAAAATTAAAAATATAAATTAAATATCATGTTTAGAGAATATTATAATAAAAATTTCGAATAAAAAGATTCTAAATAATCAACTGATATAATATTATTTATGTATTCATGTTAATTATGATATTTATTTAAAATATATTTGTTAATAAAAAAGTATTTTAAAAATAAAGAACGATAAAAAATTCAATAAATAATATAAATGAAGAAAAGAATAAAAATTTATATTTTTTCGATTTATACTTAAAAAAATATATTCAATATCGATATGGTTGAGAATCGCTACACGTAACAATGGCTTTTCATTTTTATGGTATGTGGCAAGTCAAATTTTACTTACCTTTTTTTTAACTGAACTTCACAATTATTTTCACGAAGTTAATTATAATATCTTTTAAAAAATGCCACATTTAAAAATATATGCTGTCATAGTAATAATTTCTCATAAATTCGAATACCGGTTAACATTATAAAGCACTACGTTCAAAGAGATAGCGAATCTATATAATTCTTAATATTTCGTGGAGGGGATAACGATACCAGTCCCGTATAAATGGAACAATCTCCACTTATTCGTATATATTAATAAAGCAAAAATATTGTTAAATAACAATTCAATAATTTATTTTAATAAATTTTAAAAATTTTAATCAAAAAAAATCTATTGTTGCATTGAATCATCACATTATACAAATGACATTTATGTTATGTATTATATAGAGATTTTACATTGCATAAAATTTATGCAATATTTTAAATATTTAAAGAATAATTTATTTTAGTTTCAATTCATGATACATTTAAACATACTTAAATAGTAAAAATTTTGAGATATGTTAAATATATGTATAATTGTTCATATGATGTACATATATTTTAACATTGTAAAAACACATATTTATATAATATGAAATTGAAATTCATAATAAATTGTTAATCAAATTAAATTATATTAGAAATTTATAATTATTGAATTATAATTTATAATTATTGATATTGATTATTTGTAACATAACTATAGCTACATATAAATAAATCAGGTATTCCCATAAATCAATAATTTGTTTTTAGTTCAAACTATAAAAAGGAAATAAAATAATCTGTTACAATTCTAATTATGAAATTAATGATAAAATTAAATTAGATAATATTAAAAATCTATATAATTCAGACCTGTACATTTCGTTGAGCAATGCTGATGACAGGGACAATTGCAACCATGCATCGATTTTCGTCGAAGAATCATGCTGTTTTTTTTATTTCACTATTCGATTTTTATGTTACAAAATATTACACGGTATTATTGTTAAAATCAACACTTCACGTAACAATTTAATATTGTTATATTAAATTAAAATTATTTTATTAATACACTATACTACATTCTAATTTTCATCATATATAATAATTTAACAAAATTTCATGATGGTGCCGGTTTCTATTTCTTATTTGAACATTGTAATATATTTTCAATTATTCTTATGCACATTTATATTTCAAAATAATTATAATTTTCTCACTTTGCAAAAGAATAAAATATTGAATTAATTTTACTATATTTTATATGCAAAATTTATAATTATAAAATAAATATACATTGATTTAATACTTTTTTTACGAGCCAATTGAATACATCTTATATTACGGCTTTATTACTCCTCAATCTTCACTATAAAACAGTTACAGCAGACGACGACCTCTATCGTAACTTAAGAAAGGTATAACGCCATAATGCATGATAAAGGCAAAGACATGATGAAACAACCAATCACAAAAGACTCAATTGCTAAAGAGGGGCAACTACACGTGACTTGCAGCATGTCACTGTCAAAGTGTTTAATTAAAGTACATATAATTTCATTAAGATATTACTTTACTATCAATTTGAAAACGACGATTTAAAAGTTATAAAAAATTCATTTAAAATTATTAATATATTTTTTTATACGTTAAAAAATATTCTCGTTATATTCTTCATTATATGATATAATTATAATAAAAATTATTTTCAAAAAATATATAAAATATAATCATATTTTTTGTTTACATATATTATAGTTTTTAATTTATATCATAAAAATAAATATAATCAAATAATTATTATTCTATTCAAAATATATATGTGTATATATATATATATATATATATATATATAT